TAGCCAAATGTGAATTTGGGTACTTGACATGTAGTTAATGCAATGGAGGAGCTGAAATTTTAATTTTAGGTTCTGCCGACTTCAATTTATGTTTGAGTAGCTACATGTGGCTAGTGGCTACCAAATTGGGTAGGGCAAGTCTGTAATGATGATTACTAAAACACTTTCATAGTGCTTACCTTTCCATAGTCACTCTTCTGAGTGCTTTACATATTAATATATTTAATCCTTACACTGATTCAACAAGGTAGTATGTGGCTACTATTGCTGTGTACCACATTTCTCCAAAGTTTAGTGGCTTAAAGCACCAACAATTATTTATTTGGCTTAAGGATTAACAGTTTGGGCCAAGTTTATCAGAGATAGCTCATCTTTACTCCCTGCAGATGGGCCACAGGATCTGCTTCTAAGCTGGGTTAGATTACTGGTTGGCAAGTTAGTGCTTGCTGCTGCTCTCTGTCCATGGGGCAGGTAAGAGTCCTTAGCATGGTGGCTGAGTTCCAAGAGCAAGTGCTGCAAAATACCGGAAGAGGAAGTTGTCAGTTTCTTAAGGCCTGAGACCAGGAAACTGACAAAGCATCAACCCCAACACATTCTACTGGACAAGCAAAGCAATGTGTGTAATAGGGGAGGAGATGGAGGCTTCACTTTTCAGTGAGCAAAGTATCAAAATATTGGAGGTCATGTTTTAAAATTATTGTAGATGGGTACAGCAGTCATTTGATTTCATTTTATAGATAAGGAAACTGAGCACCAACAAATGAAATTACTTGCCCAAGGTGAGTCTACTAAGTGGCCAAACTATAATTTCTGCCAGGCAGCCTACATTTTTAACCTCAGTACTATATTATATCTCTCTGTAATTCATACATTCAAGACAGGCATGCATGGTGGCACACACCTGTAATCCCAGCACTTAGGAGGGTAAGGCAGGAAGATTGCAAGTTCAAACCCAGCTTGGACAACTTAATGACTTAGTGAGGTCCTGTCTCAAAATACACAATTAAAAGAGGGCTGGGGATGTAGCTCAGTGCAAAGGCCTGGGTTCATTCTCCAGTACCACATACACACACACACACACACACACACACTCTCACACAAAAAATACATATCTTCTATTTTTTTTTATGGTACAATCATTATGAAGTGAATTATACATATTTGTAAAACACAAAGCTTTGTAAAGATGTAGTATGTGTAAGGGGTTGCTCAATGTCAAATTCATAGTGAAGACACATTCTTGGTCACCTAATCCACGAGGTGGTGCTGAGCTCCAGTTCTGAGCCCCTGTGCTTTCCATTCCCTGTTTCCTGATGCCACCTAAAGAATTTAGCATAGCCAGATTGAAACGGACCATGATTCTGAGAAAAACTCCCAAGTCTTTACCTATTCCCATTGTATAGAGTATTTATAAAATTAATCAGTCAATCAAACATTTAGAACTATAAATAAAGTTCAACAAATCTTTCTGGGTTTTACTGATAGGCTTGAAGTTAAACCCTAATTTAGGTGGTAGATTTATTACATATATTTAGGGGTGGATATACCTATCTCTCTCTCTCTCTCTCTCTCTCTCTCTCTCTATATATATATATATATGTGGATGGGTTTTATATATATACATATATACACATACACACACGTGTCACTCATTAGCCACATATAAGATGGAAATTATACCTGGACCAGTTTCCAGAATAAAATAAATATAAATTTATTATAGGAAAAAACCAGACACAGCTGAGGTGGCTACTCCATAGTCAGAGCAGTGCTGGACAATACATCTCATATTTATAGGGTCTCATTCTAGTTTCCTACACATTCTGCTTTCTTAACTCAGGAAGAGCATTGGCTTGCTCCTTTGATTAACCATTTGTTTTCTTTCCCATTTTTATCACCAAAAGTGCAGTTGCCTGCTTGTTTTCTGTCAGGCAGCTGCTTCAAAGTCCTGTTAGCTCCCCACCTCAGTTATGCATCTACACTCTGGTGTCAGACTGTGTGGTTAAAATCTATCTCTATAAGTTGTTCACTCTTTGGCCTTGAGCAAGTGACTTAGCCTACTTTAAAGTCCTGTTAGCTCCTCGCCTCACATGCACATAGTCATGTGTTGCTTAACGATGGGGATGCATTCCAAGAAATATTTCATTAGGTGATAATGTATTTACACACCTCAGTGGTACAGCCTACTACACACTTGAGCCATAAGGTGCAGCTTGTTGCTCTTAGGCTCTGAACCTGTACAGCATGTTACTTGTATCAGTCACCTTTCCTACTGCTGGTGCAAAATTCTTGATACCCACAGCTTAAAGGAGGAAAGGATTACAGTATTGGGGCTTATGGTTTCAGAGTGTTTGGTCCATGATTGGCTGGCTTCAAGGCAGGAACATCATGGCAGAGGGGCGTGGTGGAGCAAAGCTCTGTGATAACTGGGAAACAGAACAGGGGAACAGCGCCAATGAGAGATACCCTCCAAAGGCAACCTCAAGTGACCCACTTCCTAACAGCGCATTCAACTAAGAACATCAGTGGATTAATCCACCTGTGAGTATAGCATCCCATGATCCAGTCACTTTTCCTTGAGTTACATAACCCAGTCAGGTTGACAATGAAGCTTAACTATCACATTACTATACTGAATACTATAGGAAATTATCACACAGTTGGTAAGTATTTGTGTACTCAAATGTAGAAAAGGCACAGTGAAAATACTAGGTGATAGGTGATAAAATTTTTTTAAATAGCAAAACATTTAGGTGATAAATATTCTTAAACTTCATTATAATCTTAGGATCCACCCTTATATATATGTGGTCTATTGTGGATCAAATGTCATTATGCAGTGTGTGCCTGCATTATATATATGTAGTTTCTTGGGAGAGAAATGAGAAAAAAATTAAAGCTTACCTCAAATTCTAGAAGTTGCCTGATAAAATAATGACTGCAGCTTTCACAAACTGAAGGAAACAGTTCTTTGCATTTCAAAGCCAGTGGATTTGTCTATGTGTGAGAGAGGTGGCCCTTTGTACAATGGCTTCTGATTTGCAGATTAAACTTGTTTGATACTGTTTGCTGCCATGATGAGCTCTGCTCATTTCACACTATTTGTTCTCACTATAATTTTGACAATACTCATTCTTTTCTTACCAAATATTCTTCTTTTTTTTTTTTTTTGGTACTGGGAATTGAACTCAGGACCTTTCACTTGCCAGGAGGCAGGTGTGGCACCACTGAGCTATATCCCTAGCCACTTACCAAATATTCTTGAGAAAGGTTATAGCTTGAGAAAGTGTCTATAGCTTTCTAATTTCTGTGTTTCTTAAGGAGTTTATGTGAATCTTCCTGATGTAGAAAGCCCTATGTTATCATTTCAGAATCAGAATGTTCCAAGTGCTGAGAGTCTACTTCAGCCAAATTCCATGTTTTCCTTGAGTCTTTGCTGCCTTTCTCCCTATTTGTTCATATTGTGATACTTTGCAGATTTTCTGTACTGTTTGATCTTTCTTTTAATTGGCCACACCTTATAATTAGGTGCTCTGGGCTTTCTGCATCTTACTTTCCAGGGGCCACATGGCACCCCAAGGTGACTGTGACACTTACCTCTGGTATATACAGCTAACGGTCCCTCTTTCCCAAACCACACTGCCTCACAGACCAGCTTCCCTGTTCTTCATCTCATAAGACAGGTCCTCAGTGTCATTTTTTCTCCTAATGAGTGTTCCTGAGTGTTCCTTCTGCATCATTTCTTACCATCTGTCATGATCTGGCTGTGTGCTGACTTGCTTAATGCCTGTTTCTGATGCTACCTACAAGCTCTGAGGTGGCAGGAGCTGTACTTTATGTTGTTCATCGTTCTACCCAGCTCCCAGCAGGGGCTTATCACATAGTACGCATGCAATAAATGGTTGGCAAATGGATAAACATGCACAGGCTTCCTTTTTTATATTGATGCTCTCTGATTATTTCCTCTTCTTCATACTCTAAATATGTCAGTTTACTGAATCCTATTAAAACATAAGTTCCATGAGGAGATCTTTGTTTTGCTCAGTGTGATAATATTTGCCTCCCAAGTACCTAGAATGATGCTTGGCAAGGTCATATTTTCATGTTTCTGTGACATGGCCATGTTCTGTCTATATTGCTGTGTTACAGAAGTAGTTCTAAGTGCTTTGCATGCAGTCATTTATTTCATCTTCACCGTTGTCCTTGCAAGAGTGGGCAGGTACTGTTAGTGTAAGAAACCAAGGTATTAAGATGTTAAATCATTGTTCATTGTCACACATATGCTAAATGCTGGAGCTAGGTATCCAGCCCTGGGCTCCTGAATCCATGCTGTTCACCACTGAGTACCATGTTATAATATCTTTTAATGTTTATGTGCATATTCCATGTTGAATATATCACTAAAACCCTGTGCCTCGTTGCATACTCTGTGGGATTCTCAGCAGTTGAAGAAGTACTAGTTGTCTTCAAGAGATTTAAAAAACCAAAAGTGGCCCAAGGTAGGAACAAGTGTGTAAATGGCAAAGGTGGGAACTTGGTCTGTTTTAGGCCCACCCTGGGCTCTCTCCCTTTGTGCTGGGCTGAAGGACCCCCGCCGCACATTCTCAGCATGGCCTGAGGTTTGAGGAGCAGACAGACACTTATTTATTTATTTATTTACTTATATTAATACATGCTTATGGTGCATAATGTTTACGTTCCTTGTGTGGAGTTGGCACATGTGTATAACAAATCTTAATGCCTTTTTAAAAATCCCCTTTCTTTCTCTCTTCTTTCCTTTCCCTGAATCTCTTGGTCCCCTTCCCTTTTAAGAAAGATCTGTCTTTCTACTTCTTACTATCTTTTTTGCTCTTTATGTATAATTTGGGTTCCTCATATGAGAGAAACCACGCGGTATTTCAGCTTGTGTAGGCACTGATTTAACGTGAACACTTCCTGAGGATTGTCAGGGTTTTTGCCCCTCATAGACATCTGACAGCCATGTCTGTTCTTTCCTGTAGACAGTGGTAGCAGCCACATGTTGCCCTCCAGGACAGAGACGACCCCGTCACCTGCAAACGATACAGGGAACGGACACCCAGAGTACATTGCATATGCGCTCGTCCCTGTATTCTTCATCATGGGTCTCTTTGGCGTCCTTATCTGCCACCTGCTTAAGAAGAAAGGCTATCGTTGTACCACAGAGGCTGAGCAAGATGTCGAACAGGAAAAAGTTGAAAAGATAGGTAAATAACCTGGCTTCTTTTTCTTGGTGGGATGGGGTAGGGAAACAGTTTTTAAATAAGAAGCCGTACTTGCATACTTCCTATCTCTGCGAGGCACAGTGAGCCATGTGAACAGCAGCTCTGGGTAGCAGTGTACCTTTCCCAAGAATCACACCTAGAGTTTGAACCCTTGCTTTCGTTAACTGGCTACCTAGTAGGTATTTACCTGCATTGGTCCTGTGGCCTTGGGCAAGTTACGTGCACTGTGAATCTCTGCTGTGTATGACTGAGCTGAAATTTATCTCTAATTCATGTAGTTGGCATTTTAACTTAATTTAAATGAGGATAATAGTCTCCATTCTGTAGGGTGGTTGTGCAATTTAGAGAGGAGATTTGTTAGTGGTTGGGACATATGGTCTCTCAGAAAAAAATTAATCCTTACTGTTACGATTGAATCTGAGTCTAATAAGAATGGTAGGAAAACTAAACAAATGTCATCATTTTTGTAGTCTTACTCTGCATTCTGTAATATTACATTTTTGTTCTGTCTTGAGCCTGCATGATTGAAATATGATTATGTAGTAAATGATTGTGGGAACAGTGCAGGAAAGTATGATAGGAACCAGTGCCTTAGTATGAACCCCATGGTGTCCCATCCTTTCCTTGTCACCTGGAGTTTTAGGGAGGGTTTGAATAAGTCTGAGCCATGAATCCTGTTTTCCTGTCATTACTTTCTAGTCAACTTTTTGGGAGGTTTTCTGACTTGGGCCTTGATTATTAGTAGATAACTCTCCATATCCCGTAGAGCCCCGTTCGGGCAGTCTTTGCAGAGAGGTGGCATTTGGAGTAGGTCACCCAGCGAGCAAAACCACAGGATGGCAGGGGAGAGGGACCTCATTCCTTGCCAGCTTGCTGGTCTGTTTGTCTTTTCCACCCCCACTGACCTTTGAGGCAGAGGCAGAGCATGATGGCAGGATGAGTCATGTTTAAGCTTATGACCAAACCAAAGTGGAGCATTTGTCAACAGAAAGTGGGGCCTGCCCCTCTGCTCCTTCTTAGATGTCTGTAGGTTAGAGTTAGCCATCAGGTTCTGTGCTGTCCCTCTGAACATGTGCATTCATGTTGGAGAGTAGCCAACCCTGGGAGAGAGAAGACTCTTTTCCTGTACACCTAGATTGTTCTTGATGAACCTGATAGAGGTTTCCACCCTCCTTCTTTCCTTCCCTGTGTATTGAAACAAGTTATACAGCTTGGTTTCTGAATGGAGCCTTGATAGTTTTTCAAAGACCATCACATTATATTGCTGGTACAGAGTCCTCCAAAGTAAACTGAGTTTATGGGCAAATAACCAGGGTCAAAATTTAGATAATTGGGAAGTATATTCAAAAGGATGAGAGTTTTATAAATGAGAATGAATATCTAACTTAAAAAATAAATCAGTGCTCTTAAGTTTATGCATTAAGCTGGAATTAAAAGCTAAGGAAATTTGTTTCTTTTGTCAGCTTTCTTCTTTGCATTTCCTCTGAGGGTTTAAGGAAATGATGAGAAAAGTAATAGCAGTCAAGAGTATATGAATGCATTTCTATACTGTTGTTTAGAAAGTGAGTGGATATTTGACCATGAGAAGAGATTGATAGACAACTCTGATACTTTCTTTTTATGTTTGTTATGCCAGTAAAGTCACAATACATGACACTGGAAAGTTTGGGTCTGAAGGAGGAAAGCTAGAATCTCTGCATCACACATGACTACCTGAGCTTCCTGGAAGCTGTTCAGTGAGGTCTTGGGCCCTGACACTGAATATCTAATTGACTTTCTGCCTGTGAGTGGCCAAGTGTGATACGTTCTCCCACCCTCTTTTCTCTTTCAGAGCTGAATGACAGCATAAATGAAAATAGCGACACTGTTGGGCAGATTGTCCATTACATCATGAAAAATGAAGGTATGGATATTTTAGTGTTCAGAGCAATTTAGTATTCTTGTTCTATCACAAACCTGCTTTGAAGAATCAGGATTGGAATGGGCTCGCATTGATTTTACCTAAGCTCCCTAATTCCTAGGCTTCCAGCATTATCCAGGTGCGGGGAATTCACATTAGTATGTTTCTGAGTGCCAGCTGACCTCGGTGTTGAGGAGAGCCAGCCCTGGGGCTGATGGCTTCTGTTCCAATCCCGAGCTCCCTGCTTCCAAGTTGTGTGCAGTTGGAGAAATCCCATTACTCCATGAAGCCTCAGTTTCCTCCTATGACATGGGAGTCATAATAATATTTACGTCACAGCACTGTTGCAAAATAGCATGTGAAATACTGTGTAATAATTAGCACTCAAATATTATCTATTACTTTGTTTGTACTTAAAAAATTGTGGTAAAATATACATAAAATTTGCTACTCTAACCGTTTTAAAGTGTAGAATTCCGTGGCATTGAGTTCATCCACCGTGTTGTATAAATATCACCACTGGTAGTTACAGAACTTTTTATCATCCCAGACTGTAACTGTACACATGAAGCAGTCACTCCCTATCCCTACTCCCCCAGCCTCTGACAGCCATGCCTCTGCTCTGTCTCTAGATTTGACTGTTCTGTTTCTGTTATCTGTTCTTAAGTGTGAAAACATTTAAATAGCTTATCCCTTGGAGTACATGTCTTTCTCCTGTGAAATGTATTCTAACCCTTCCTCTTCTTCAATGGAAGCTTCATTGCATTGTGACTGATGGTCATAGTTCTGACCACTGGTATTACCTTGAGAGCATCCCGCCCTGTTTTCTGTTGCTGTCACTAAACACCACACACGCTACTTGGGAAGAGCAGAGGTTCGTGTGGCTTGTGGTTCTGGAGGCTGGCATGTCTGTTGGTGGCATCTGCCCTGCATCTGCTCAGGGCCTTCTCCCTGTATCGTGACATGGCAGAGAGTATCACATGGCATTTGGAGCAGTTGTGTCTGAGAGAGAGCTTGCTTTGTGCCAAAGTCACTCCCTCAGTAACGCATTAATCCTTGAGTGGATAAATCCACTCTGGGCAGAGCCCTCATGCCCGTCACCTTCCAAAGCTACCACCTCCAGATACCATATACATATGATTTTGGAGACTAAGTTCCGACACATGAATTCTGGGGACCCACCCAAACCATAGCAGATTCTATCTCAGTAGTTTCTGAGATGTGGAGACTCGTTGCCACGTATTCAATAGCTGTGGATTCCTATACTTTGAGTTCTTGTGCCAGTTTAAAAGCACATGTTTTCCCTGGTCTGTCTTTGTTCTAATTGGCACTGGATGAGTCATGTAGCATGCACTGATAAGAGCAGGGCCATTTGTCTAAAAGCTGAAGTCCTTATATATTCATCAGTAAATACCTGCTCTTCTGCCCTCACCACTCTGCCTGCAGATTCCCCCACCCCTATCTTGCCCAGACTGTTTGTCAGTGTGTTCTGCTCTTGTCTGACTGTTTTTCACTTGGAGGAACAGCAGTTTCAAATGCTTCCGCATAATTTCCGGTGCTGTTTTTAGAGTGTGCTTTATATGTATTTGTCTTAGTTAGATCTGGGAGTTTTATGTGTGTAATCTCATCGAATCCTCAAAACATCACTATAGTGTTGACATTGTTATGCCCGCCTTACAGGAGAGAGGGAGTTTCCAAGGAGTTAAATTCACATGGGTAGTGAACAGTCCATCTCTTTCCATCCAGTTCTAGATACTGTGTGCCTTTAAGCCACAGTGTTGCCTCTCCTCTCTCTTAATTTGCAGTTTTCAATTTCTACAGTCTGTAGAAATCAGCCATACTGTATTCATGGTGGTATTGTTTTTTTATCTATTTAAAAAACATTTTGTTAGTACATATTTGCAGTACATAATGATTAAATTCATCGTGGAGAGTTGGTACATGTGCATAACACCTATTAATTCTATTTATTTCCCCTCCCCCCTTCTTGTTTATGATTCAAACACGTCTTTAATTTTGGAAATTAATTTTAGTTCAGGCAACTGTCTGTTGGAGGTCGGATCTATTAGCTGCCCTGTTTCCCTACACCCTCACGCCTCGCTTTTGACACAAGATACGTGGGCTTTTTCCATACTAAGCATTTCTCTAGCTCTCCAAACACCAGCTGGGTGTCCTACAATTCAACTCAACTCTGGCTGTGTGTGCCTGAGAGTTAACATGTGATCCCTCCATTAAGGGCTCAGTCCCAAACACTGTCCCTGGTTTAGATGCCAGTCACCAGTCCAGGCCTCTGGTACTTGTGACCCACAAGGTATCAATCATAAAATTTCCACAGACTCCTGCTTGGGTTTAATAGTTTGCTAGAAGGTTTTTTAGAACTCAGGGAAACATTTTATTAACATCTATTGGTTTATTATAAAGAATGTAACTCAGGAACCACCGGAGTGAAGAGATGCATAGGACAAGGTATTGGGGTGAAGGGTGGGGATACAGCTTGCACCCCTCTACCCGGTCCCCAGTGCACCACCCTCCCAGCACCTCTGTGGGTCTAGCAGCCAGGAAGCTCCTGGAATCTTGAAAGTTCCAACTCTAATCCCTCAGCTTTTCTGATGACTGGCCCCACCCTAACCCATCCCAGTAGACTCAGGGGCTTTAGTGGCTCAATATGAATATCAGACATTCCCATCTCTCAGGAAGTTCTGAGGTTTTAGGAGTTCTCTGACCCACCTTCCTGCTGACTTTTCCTCCCTACATTAAGGGTTGGATTCATGCCAGTTCTATCTTTTCTTTTTTTTTGCTACCGAGGATCGAACTCGGCTCCTTGCGCTTGTGCAGCAGGCAGTGAAACCACTGAGCTAAATCCCCAGCCCTGCCAGTTCTATCTTTTAATCTGTGAAATAGAGCCAAACTGAATAGCTTTTGGGTGGTCAGAGTTTTCTTGCAGATGGAAGTTTGGAAAATACTAGGGACTCTGTAGCTGAGCTTCTTCGGCGGGCCCTTAAACTGTCTGCAACAGTGTAAACTGAGAGTACTGCGGTTACTCCTCGAGATCCTTGATTATTCCCACGAGGCCAGAGATCCCTTTGTGAAGTTCTTACCTTGACACTGTTTATACATGGCAGAAAGGACACCTTTACAACCAATATGATTACGAAATGGGCTCTGAAAGGTGATGCGCTGATTGTGCAGTCCTGCTCTTCTAGCTATTCAGCCTGTGCGGGTGATGGGTGGACACCCGGACACTAGAGGAGAAGGAGAGTGGCAGGGTTTAAAGCACCTGCTCTCTGCTCACACAGACCAGAGATTGTGGCCGAGTCTGTCCCTCTGTACTTGTGTAACCCTGGCCAGTCATTTACTATCTTTAAGCCTCAGTTTCTTTATCTGTAAAATGAGGGTGATAATTCCTCCTATGGTTAGGGTCATTGAAGAGTCCAGTATGGTAAGGCCTGTAAAGCTTTTAGCTGGCATATAAATTTTGGTGGTGGCAATGTTAGTTACAGCTTGGGACATTTGGGGAGTGTATAAGGAAAAGTTTGAGGAAATAGTGGTAGGAGACACAGCAGGACATTTTTTTCTTGCTTGATTTTGACTTTTGTGCCTATTATCAAGAAGAAATTCAGGAGGAAAAGAGAGGAAGAATTTTCTAGAAAAACCTACTAATTAGAAGATTTCTTCTATTCTTTTTCCCTTTAACTGGTTCCCTCACTTGTGGAAGGAAGTATAGTTGACAGAATGTTGGCATGTGTCAGGAAACTGTCTCCTGGCTTATTGGAATTATGAGCAATATGCAAGGAGGAGAGAGATAGCCCGTCCTCTGTATCCATGAATTCAACCCAAAATTGAAAATGTTCAAAAAAATTGCATCTGTATTGAACACGTGCATACTTTTTTCTTGTCATTTTCCCCTAGACAACACAGTATAATTGCTGTTTATATAACATTTACATTACATTTGGTATGATAAGTAATCTAGAGATGATTTAAAGTGTGCAGGATGTACATGGGTTATATACAAATACTACTTACATAAAGGACTTGAACTTTTGTTATCTTTGGGAGGTCCTGGAACCATTCTTCTGTGGATACCATGGATAACTCTTTATTCAAGAGAACTTACCATTCTTTTATTATAATTTCACAACCAAATTAAAACATGTGTTTAAGTCCTAACAGTGGTGTTTCAAAAGTCTTCTCATTACAAGAAGACAGAAATGTTCCCAAGGGACACGTTACTGAAATTTACTCCCTGGTATAGACTTGAAAGTTGGCCCAGAGGTGGGGTATGAATGTTTGCGCACATGTGTATAGATGTGGACGTGTGTGTCAGTCCCACATGCTCCCCCTGCTCAGACAGGGTGGGTGTGAATGACGTTTGCATAGAAACTAGAGTTTACTCTTAGAAACTTCACTCAGTGCAAAGGGGCTGTTGGGTAATTATTTCTGAGAGATAGGGATGAGTCACAGGAATTCATGAAATCATGAGAAATACAAGTACACAAGAAACAAGCTTGAGTAGTGACTCTAATATATTTTATCTTCCTGGTATCACTGTATAATTTGGTGTTTTCATTTTAGAGGCATTCATCATTTTATGGGTGATTAATCTCAGGCAGCTATTTAAACTTTTGTTTTTAAAAAACTCATTACTTTAAGTGCTCTTGTTACTATCTTTGTTTTCATACCCTTTGTTATTTTTCTTTTCCTCTGTTCATAGTTTTGAAGTTTGATAAATGATAACGTTTAGTAAGTGTGAACTGACAAATTATTGTATATCTTGTATACAATAAGATACACAATTGTATGTGGGATTGTATATCTTTATTAGTCCTTTTTCTGTTACAATATTGATATACCTGAAGCTGGAATTTTATCAAGAGAAGAGGTTGATTTAGTTCACAGTGTTGGAGGCTATAGGTCTGAAGTCAGCCAGCTGCATTGATTTGGCTCTCTCTGGTGATGGCCCGTGTGGCTGGGTCACATAACAGTGGGTGGCATCATGGGGAAAGCATGTGCCAAAGGGAAAGGTCACATGATGAGGGAAGTCAGAGCAAGTCATGAGTTGGGCTGCCTTTATTTTTTGGTGCTGGGAATGGACCCAAAGCCTCACCATGTTAAGCAGATTGTCTATCCCTGAGCCTCATCTCCAGCCCTCTTTTTTTAACAATGTTCTTTTGAGAACCAACCAGGGTACCATGAGAACTGTATCAATTCTTTGTTGTTGTTGTTATTGTTGTTGTTGTTGTCTTCTTTTTGAGACAGGGTCTCCCTAGGTAGTTCAGGCTGGCCTTGAACTCACTATGTAGCCCAGGCAGGCCTCAAACTTGTAGCAGTCCTCTTACCACAGCCTCCCAAGAGCTGAGGTTACAGGCCTACCCCACTGCACCCCGCTGAGAAGTGTATCAATTCCTTCTGAGGGCAGCACTACCTGTGACCTAACCACCTTCCACTAGGCCCCGTCTACCTCTTAAAGGTCCCGCCACCTCCCACATTGCCACACTCGGGATAGTCTTGTAACATATGAATCTTTGGGGGAGATAAACCACTTCCAACCTACAGCAATATCCAAACCCTTTACCTGAAAGAAAATTGTTTTCCTGGATCCTTTTTATTAATCAGAAAGAAAAATACTTTAATTATCTTTGTGTGTGGGAGAGATACTGTGGGTCAATTGTTGGTATTTTTGTAATGTCAAGAACCTTGTTTTAAGTCAAAACTTGTGTTTAGAAGTGAATTTTGACATCCTCATGGAAACTTATGAAGGGCAAAGAAAATGTTTCTTTTAGCAAAGAGTGGTATGTTGTGTTAATTTCTCCCTCCCTTCCTTCCTTCCTTCCTTCCTTCCTTCCTTCCTTCCTTCCTTCCCTCCTTCCTTCCCTCCTTCCCTCTCCCTCCCTCCCTCCCTCCTTCCATCCCTTCTTTCTTTATGCAGTACTGAGGATTGATCCCTGGGCCTTCTCACTGAGATACATCCCCAGCCCTTCTAAAATTTTTTCAAAATTTTGAGAAAAGTTCTCTCTAAGTTGCTTAGTTGAATACATAAGACTGGGACTTGCAGTCCTTTTGCTTCTGCCTCCAAAGTGCTATGATTATGGGTGTGTGCCATTATGCCTAGCAAATATGTCTTATTAAAAAAAAGATTCATGCACTCTCAAGGGTGTGTCCCTCAGGAAGATGAAAATTGGATCTTGGGGGAGCCAAAAAATTCTTACTCTCTTACAACACAGCTGTGCACAAAGAACAGAAAAAGACAGGTAATATATCTTTAGGGTTTCACTTTCCCAGGAGGCTGATAAGGGGAAAATGTGGAAAAAGGCTTCTGGGTGGGGCTAGAAGGAAAAGCAGGTTGAGAAGGACTGTATGTAAACCCCTAACTCTGAACTCCCACACAGCAGGGTTGGAGCTGGACTCAATTGTCCTCTTCTGGGGATGTCATTTGAATGAATGTTCAATGTCCGGTGGTGGTGGCTAACATGGTAAATAGTGATTTTTTTTTTTTAAATTCTTTCCTGTCTCGAGAATCTATTGTGGTTAGTCATATGAACAGTGCTTTAAAGATCAATGGAAAAGGTTAGGAGTCAGCATTAGTATTGGGCCTTGCCAGTTAAATAGCCAGGAGAAACAGCATTCCCGGAGGCTTTATGCACAGGAGCTGCAGGGAAGGGGCCCGGGTGTGACCAGGGGACCCCAGAAGCAAGGATTTGGTTTGCTTTTGTTGCAGCCTAGCTTCCTCCTATCCCACATATTTGGAGGTTGTTTTTTTTTTTTAAAAAAGAGAACATTTGAAGCCTAATTTAATCTATCCTATATTATAAAACATATGTGTTGTGATCAACACTTAATTCTCTGACACATGTCCAGACTTCAGGGTCCGAACTGTCCAGAGGCAGAGCTAAGCCAGTTGGCCCACCTCCCTCCCTTACCCTGGGGTCCTCATCCGTGAAATACAGGAATTACGTTATGTGTTTTTTCCAGCAGCTTTTCCGATGTGATAATGCTGTGACTACTCATTCATCCTGTGTTAATTCTTTAATTTCATTTTTATTCCTTAGCAAACGTGGATGTTTTGAAGGCGATGGTAGCAGACAACAGCCCGGCTGATGCTGAAAGGTAAGTGCACCTCCTCCTCCTCCCACCTAGTGGTGCATTTTTTATTTGTTTGTTCAGCTATGACGTTTGAAACGCTGTTCAGCCAGAGCAGGTTTCCCGACTTGGCTCTGTGGATGTTGGGGGCCAGTACCCCTTTGCTGCAGGTGTCTGTGCACTGTGGGATCTTTGACAGTGTTCCTGGCTTCTGCTCACCAGATGTCCGAGCACTGCCCCTCTTTGACCCCGCAAGGTGCAACAAGCCCAAATGTGTCCACATTGTCTGTTCCTGAGGGCCCTCCCCTGGTGCAGAGCTGCTGTGGAGAGATCCGGGCCGGAGGAATGAAGGCATAGGGCCAAGAGCACGAACACAGCTTTGGGACTGGGAGCTTTTGGTCTAGTCTTCCCTGCACCGCTTCCTGGCTGCTTGTGCTTGGGTGAGCTTGCTGACCACACTGAGCTCCAGTCCACCATCTATAAAATGGAGATAACCCTGTCTTGTGTTGACTTCATTAGGTTGAAGGAATGGGAAATATTGGGGCATTGAAACTGCCTTCCTAATAGGGGGATTATAAGCAATTTGTGTGGGCATACCCGCCAAAATGTGATTTTATATTTCTGATTCTAGGTTATGGTCACTAAGCACCATAGTCCTTCATAATTAAGGACAAATGTATAGTTTTCATTTTTCCAAAAAGGAGCATGTATTGAGTGCCTGATGTGTACTGGGTACTGTGCTAGACATGGCATTCACAGCACTTTGCCCTAGAGGAGCTCATTGTGGGCACAGAGGTGGGCATGTAAGGCATTACAGGAGATGGAGCCTGAACCTGCTGCAGGAGCAGCACACTTGGGGGATCTAGGAGCTCTGTGGGGCTAGCAAAAGTCACAGTGACTTAGGGAAGAGGCATCATCTGAACCTGGTGTTCCAGAGACAGGGCTGTTTATTCCAGGACAAAAGGGGCTGGGGTACAGTGTTTGACCTGGGATGGCCAGAGAATGTGCAGTGGTAGCAGCGTGAAGGCCAGGAGGGCTAACTGGGCCTGAGAGCCATGGCAAGAGGTTGGATCTTTTGCTGCTTCATGAATGGGCATGCACATAGCACAGGTTGAATATTAATGCATGTGCCACCCTGGAGGGATGAGATGAGCTTTGAGTGCAGAGAGGTGAGCTTGGGAAGCTCCGGTGATGTGATTCACAGATGGACACAGACTGCTCCCACAGTCCAGCCCTGACTGCTGCAGATAGCTAGGTTTACGACCATATCAGCTTCTGGTGTCTTTGTCTCAGTTGTCTTTGGGTATCCTGTGGTAGTTGTCAGGTTTTACACACAGGTGGTGCCTGATAAATGATTGTGGGATGAATGTAGTTGAAAGCATGAATGCAGCTTTGCAATATTTGGTGATAAATTCACATTGTTTCTCTCTGGGAGGTTCCTGTTATGGGTTTTTAAAAACTTAGAAAACATCCCTAGAGTACAGCAGGGAAATTGATTTGCTGAATGTGGATCCTGTCCCCTCACTTGTGGTCTGTACCTTTTTAAAACATGAGTGAGTTGGGCAGGTGTTTTGGGTCCCTTTCTGCATCTCATGTGCCAGGCTCTGTGATGCACCACCGGCTCATTCCTCTCTGTTTTGCCCTGTCCTGTTCTAATCCTTCCTCTTGTAGTGGCCAGAGCCTGGATATGTGCCATTTGAAAGGAGCCAAATCTGGCCTACATACACTCGCTTGCTATGTTTTGGCTGATCTGGCCAAATTTCTTACAGATGATTGGAAGTGGTTTCCATTGTTTCTGAATCACCATGTTGTGTGTTCAGTTACACCGTGGTTCTTGCAATTCAACTTTCTAGGTTTGGATCTCCGATCCACACTTCTTTGCTTGTTACTTAGCATCTCTAACCTTGAACACCCTCTGTTTTATTTCTACTCTTTGTGGTCCTGAGGATCAAAGCCAGGGCTTCCCACATGATAAGCAAGCCCTTTACCACTGAGCTTTATTGCCTGGCCAATCCTTCTTTATTTTTTTCTTTTTGAGATAGGGCCTCAGTATGTAGTTCAGGCTGCTCTTGAACTCACTATGTAGGACAGGCTGGCCTCAAACTTGTGACAATCCTCCTGTCTCAGCCTGTGGGTGCTGGGATTACAGGCATGTGCCACTGTGCCCGTACCTGTAAGGAAATTATTAATGCTTGCATCATAAGGTTTTTTAAAGATTAATTGAATTAACACAAAATTCTTGGAATCCCAAGTCTTAATTTTTCTTTTTCTTTTTTTTTTTGGTACAGGGCGGGGATTGAACTTGGGACCTTGCACTTGCGAGGCAGGTGACAGAACCACTGAGCTAAATCCCTGGCCCAAATTTTTCATTATTAATATCAACACCATCAACATCTGTTTTGAGCATCACTGCTGATAACTCGACCTGAAGCTTTCTTCCTTTGATGCAATAGTCCCATTGGATTGAATAGTCTTACAATTATAAACCCTCTTATAATTCCATTGGACTTTAAGTTTTTCTGTCTCTCAGGGCATTAGTGTTCAGAGGATCATCCTGCTGAGAGTTCTAGGCAGATGCTGAGCTGCGTGTGAGCAACTAGCATGACTGCATGAGAAGGGAGATGCATGTTTTGGAAAGAAAACTCATACTCCTAAGTCAAACTCTGTATCATCATTAGAAGCGGTGGCTTATTTGTAGCCAATTAATTGAATTCTAGAAGTGATAAATCACATTATGATTGTTTGAAATGTGTTGTCACCGTGTGGTCCTGAGAGCTGAGTGCCTGTGTCTAAGGTCAGTCTACAGAGTCCATTTGTACAATTGTTTTCCCCATTTTAATCCTATTTCTTACATGACAGGGAGAGAACTCTTTGGCTGGGAATTCTTTCATGAAATCAGTGCTAACTTTTCCTTTCCTCTTCTTCCCACCATAGCCCCTTGACCCCTACTACCCCCGGGAGCCCTGTGAGTCCTGGGCCCTTGTCACCAGGAGCTACTCCAGGGAAGCACATCTGTGGCCACCATTTGCACACCGTGGGTGGAGCTGTGGAGCGAGATGTGTGTCAGAGGTGCAGGCACAAGAGATGGCACTTCATAAAACCCACCAGCAAGTCCAGAGAGGCTCGACCACGACGCCAAGGAGAAGTCACAGTTCTCTCTGTGGGCAGGTGAGGTCCTTTAGAATTCTCCTGGTTTGTGTGGGTTGCTATGTGTTAAATGTGAAGTATGTGCTCCTAAGCCTGGCTCAAGTTAGACCTGTGGGCTTTTGGATGTTTTCTGATCTGGTTATTTTCAGTTACAGGAGACTCCTGAAAGGCACCTATTGCTAGATCAGGAGATGTATTAATTAAGGGAACCAATTGATTACCTATAACAAAACTGAGAACCACAACTATATACAGCCTAGACCTTTAGTTTCACTTATGGAAATGTAAGCACACAATCAAGGAACAGTGTTTTGGCTGGCTCATCAACCTTTTCCAGTTCTAGGCCCCTTCATCCCATGGCTGTGCCAGGTTTGTGAGCATAAGGGGGTTTGTGGAGAATAATGCACCAAATGTTTCTACTGAGATAGTCCTGGGAGTGGCGCATATCACTGTGGCTCATAATCCACTCAGAATTAATCACCTGGGGACTCCTGACTGGCAGGAAGCCATGTTGCCAGGTGCCAGGCAGAAGAGATGAGAGGGATCTGGCACTCTGCAACCTCTGCCACATCAGGTCCCTTGCAAACTGTGCTGACTGCTTACTTTAGTTCATCTCCACTGTGTCCTGGGTGTCTCTGTCCTAAAGTACCATTTCCTTGTGAAAGAAGACCCTGCTATTCGAGGGACACATTAAGCTGACATTAAGCATTTTTGCAGTTCCTGTAGTTAGAGTGCTTAAGTCCTTGCAGGAAGCTCATTGCTAGGGCCACCTTTGGAGAGGCAGGTAGATCGCCAGTGCTGGAGACTGGGTAAGCATGTTACCAAGGCACCTTCTTTTTCTATGGAAAAACCTCTGGCCAGAGGAGGCTGACTCATTGCAGCCTTGAATCCTCACACCACTGCTTACAAATGTTACTGAGGCCCCGTGCCTCAGTTTCCCCCTGCCTAAAGTGAGGATGACATACTCACGCATCCCATAGGGTTGCTGTGAAGACTCAAAGAAATGACTCAGGGAAAGTTTTGAGACCTATTTGGGGCACTTCTGTACCCAGGAAATATCAGCCACTTTTGTTATTATCCTTATTTTAATTTATTTGGGTTTCATTATTTTGTTGCATAAGCCACAAGAAAACTGAGGGCTCTTTGCCACTTGCAGCAAAATGGTACAACTCTTGACCACAGTGTTTTATTAAGAGGTAGAGTCATGGGAATTTATGGATACAGACGAGTGGGAACCTGTAACTGTTTGGACAAAGCACATTTTGTTTGCTTTAAAAAAAAAGTCTGCTGAAATTTTCAACCTATATTCAGTATGGCTTCTCGAATACCTGAAATCCACCTCTCTTTCTGGGCTATTGGGCCCTGTGAGGATTTAATGTTTACAGGCTGTTTTTCAGCCTGTGTTGCTCAAGGGTCTTCCAGTTTGACAGAGTACGTCTGTGTACCCAACTTTGCCCCTGCTCATTTCCTTCCTCCTCCTTATGGTCGGTGATCTCATTTGGAACAAAGGAGAATTTTATTTTATGTCATTTTAAAGGAAATTAAGACCAGAACTAGAAAGATATGCTATTGAAAGACTATAGGGATGGATTATAATATTCTAAAAAATTACTCAATTAATGAAAATCTCTTCCTTTACTTCAATTTTTTCCTTAATCGTTAATGAAAACTTTATCTATATAAAACAAACAGAAACAAACCCCCTGACCATACCACCAGCTAGTACTGAAAGAACACACCTTTGTTTGTGTTTGTGTGTGTGTGTGTGTGTGTGTGTGTGTGCGCGCGCGCATGCGCATGTGTGCACTAAGCTAAAAGGATCTGATAGGATTGAATTTTTGTGAGGTGGTTACCTAGTGCCTATTTGGCTTATGACTGTCTAGTTTGCTAACCCAGTTATCTTTTTCTCTGAGCTTCTATGGTTACAGAAACTTTTGTTAAAACCCATGTCATTGTTAGAAACTGCAGTGGCGAGGCTCTTTAATATTTGAATACCTGTATTTTCTAATTTACTTTCATACTCTATAAAATATCACTGTAGTCTGTGATGTAGTTGAGTCACAAAAGCTGGACACGTGGGCAGGGCACAGGGGGATTTGCTGGTCAGAAATGTCACTCTTGTTGAATATATTTTCCATTCCTATCCTAACTTTTGGCTGAGTTTGTTAGGGGTCTTACAGATAAATACTTTTGGACACACTCCTATTTCTTTCTTAGTGAAAAAGCAAAGCCATCACATCTCCCTTTTTCCTTCCTCAGATTTAGAGTCACAAAAGTGGAACACAAGCCAAACCAGAAGGATCGGAGAAGTTTGATGTCTGTTAGTGGGAATGAAAATGTCAACGGAGAGGTGCCTGTGACACCGGTGAAACGAGATCGAAGTGGCACAGAGTAGAAGGTGAGCTGTAGTTTGGCAGCTGTGGGGTGTGGTGGTGCACGGTGGGCAGAGGTGCTGAGAGCCTGTGCCAGTCTGTGCCACATGGGAATGACCCTGCACAGGGAATGGGAAAGCGTTTCTGGAAGGCTGAGGGGACTGAGTGGTCACACGTGTGTGTTAATTCCCTTTGTCAGTGGAGGGGAGAAGTTCTGTTTTGGTGCTTCTCCAATGGTCTTCCAGGCTGAGAGGGGCTAAAGATGCTCCGGAAGCAAACTGGAGGAGTTGCTCCTGAGCTCTCTGCTAGCCTCTGTGTGCTAGTTTTTTCTGCCTTGCTTTGGGGAGATACGGCCCCTTCTCCTACCTTAGGAGGCACGTAGGGGCTTTCTGTGAAGAGGAGAAGCTGAGTAGATCGGTTTGCCTTATGGCTCTGAGGCAGTTCCTGTTAAAAAGAAGGATGATGAAATGAACAATAAAAGTAGCTTATATTAAATCAGTATTCTAGTCTTCTGGACTTTGTGCCGGTGTACATCTCTGATGTATGTCATCATTATAAACGTCCCTAATGGGTTGATGAGATCTTCCCCCTTTTACGGAGGAGGAGACTGATACATGGAAAGGATAAGGTACACATTGAAGATTATATAGCTGGAAAGAGGAGCCAGGATTTGAACCAGAGTCTCTAACTCTTTTTTTTTTCTAGTACCGGGGATTGAACTCGGGTCCTTGCGCTTGTGCAGCAGGCGGTGAAACCACTGAGCTAAAAATCCCCAGCCCTAGAGTCTCTAACTCTTAAGATCAAACACAGCCGCCTTCCCTTCAACCTACGGTGCTGATGAAGGGTGAGCCCTGATTTCAAACTTCATGGTTGAACATGGTAGCCTCTCCTCATCTGTGGGTACTTACACTAGTCACATCCAAGTATTTAGTAGCGACAGATGGCCAGGATGCACCCTGTTGGATATAGATTGTTTCTATCATCACAGGAAGTTTTATGGAGCAGAGAAAACAGTACCGTAGGTGTTAGAATTGGACTGCAGGGTGACGGTGGTAAAGAGAAAAGCGTCCTGAAAAATGTCAGGGAGGGCTTGTCTGGGAAGAGAAGTGCCTATTCAAGTCTAAGGTGAGGAAGCCCAGGCAGGTGAGCTGCCAGGAAGGTGGGGGTGATAACGAGTGTGTGGGGATGGGGTCATTACTTTGGCAGGGCACTGAGCGATGGAGCAGGTTGTCTGTGTAAGAACCTGGCTTAATCTAGCCCCTGATTAGAGCATGGCCAGGATTGGGAGAGGTGCAAGAAATTAGGATTGCTCAACTGGCTTTTTGGCCCAAATTCTGTCTGTATTTGACTATGGGAATTTGAAGTAATCATCTCAAGTCTTGACCACATGTAACTGGTTTACAATGTGCTGTTTTCTGCAAAGCACATTGTCATCCAGCAGGATTGTATAAAAGAGGATTGGGGAGCTTCACTATTTGGAAATTTTACTTATGTACCCTTAACCTTTATTCTCCTCGGACGTGAAATAAAGGTATTAAGTACGTTTAGTTAAGGCCATTGCCAATGGTGTGCCTGGCATACAGGTGATGCTGTATAGAGGGTATTCAGACTGCGGTGTGCTGTCGTTATCCACAGTGTGCCCACCGGTCCTAGAAAGGGTCTACTCTGGGCATCCAGCTTGTTGTAATTTTGAAATTCAAAATAAAAAAATTTATTTTGGAAAAGCAGAAAGAATTATAGGAATGCCCCTGTTCCAGGAAATAAATTAATTATAATACAGCTTTTGGGGTCCTCTGTACCTGGCATACCTTGACAGACCATTCCACTTGTTAACTTATTTGATCATAGGACAGCAATAGGTGGATGCTAGGTACTACCTCATTTTGCTGATGAAGGTATTAGGCACAGAGTTTAAGCATCTTGTTTAAAGTTATTAGCAATGAAATGATGATTTTAGAGTCAAAGCCAGGCAGCCTGGTATCACAGGATTCATTCATTTAAGTCAAGGACAAATAGGTCCCAACTCGGGTTGGAACTTACTGGGGTGACACCATGTGATTCTTCCAGTAGGGCGTGGACTCAGAGAAAGAACTGGAGGAATGTCATTGGCATTTTAAAAAATCATATATCCATTAAGTTTTTTCCTGCTAGTTTGCATGTATGTCCCATACAAGGAAGAGTATAGCTGGGATATGTAATGTGACTTGAGTTTTCAGCTGGGGCAGTGTGAAATTTTTCCTTCTGCCCCAAAATCTGTGGCTCTCGACTGAATCAGATTTGCCCTAAATGTAGCTGATAAAGTAGTAAAGGCATAGTATGTGTCTTTTATACAGTTGAATATGGTGTATTTTTTTCCTGAAAGATATTTTTGTTCAAATTGGGAGTTTTATTTAAGCTGTTTTACTGGATTCCTTTGTTTTACTACAGATCCAAATATTTAAATGCAAATGCAGATTCACTCATTGATTTCTTTTCTTTCCTTCCCTCCCTGTCTCCCTCTTTCCTTCTTGCTCTTCCTCCTTTCTTTCATTTTTTGTAGCAGAAACTAGACTTGGTGTAGTCAGTCCTCTGCATCCATAGGTTCCACAACTGTGGATTTAACTGTAGATCGAAAATACATTTTTAAAAATGTGTTTGTCCTGAACATTGTGCACATTATTTGTCCTTGTCACTATTTGCTAAATACAGTGTAACAGCTACTTACATGGTATTAATATTGCTTTTGTTATTTAGAGTAATCTAGAAATGATTTAATGTTCGCAAGAGAATGTGTGTAGGTTTTATGGAAATACTGTGCCATTTTATATAATAGTATTGAGCATTCACTGATTTTCATATCCTTGGGGATTCCGAGAGTAAATTTGCCATGGACACCAAGGGACACCACTGTGAATGTTCAAGTAATTTGTTAAGGAGATAGGGCAGGAGTTCTCTCTCCCTCTCTTTCTTTTACTCTTTTAAAAACAAAATGTGTTATTTGTCCTCTCCTCCCCCTTATTTTTCTCACCCTGCTTCTTTGGCCTGAATCATTTTTTTTTCTTGTGGTTAGATGTAACTTATACTCTGCCTGATTTATTTTGGCAATGCAGTTAAAATGGTTTCTTTTCTTTTCCCCTCAGAAAATGTGTTTTGATTTCTTCTTAGAAGAATAAGCTTTTGTTCTTCAAAGTTAAATAAATCGAATTGCTTTCAGTCTCCAAATGCCACTGCCTTGTCTTCATTGTCACTGGTCTGTTGCTTTTTAAAAACGATACTGCGCTAAGCATTCTGTATCACATGTTTCTGAGATGTATGGTCCTTTTTCCATTTTTCATTGTATTTTACTGAAAACACTGCTTTGGTGCGTTCACATAATGATATTTCAAACATTTTCACTTTCAATATTCAGTTTTTTTGGTCCATTTTAAATAGATTATTTGCCTTTTATAGCTCTTCAGTTGAAATCCTTCTAAATTCTGAATATTAACCACTTGTCAGGTATATAATTTGCCATCATTTTCTCTTGTTATATAAATTGTCTTTTCATTTTGTTGTTTTCTTTGTTGTCCAGAGGCCTTTTATTTTATTTTATTTTTTTGGTACTGGGGATCGAACTCGGGTCTTTGCACTTGCACAGCAGGCAGCGAAACCACTGAGCCAAATCCCTGGCCCTGCCTTTTAGTTTGATTTAATCTCATTCAATTAGTTTCACCTTTGTTACTTATACTTTAGATGTCATATTTAAAATAATCCATACCCAGACCAGTGTTGTGAAGATTTCTCCGTTTTCTTACAGGAGTTTTACAGTTAATTTTTTATTAAAAACATCAGTGGACATTTCTTTTTATTTTAAATGTTTTAATTATTGAGGCTATTATTAATTTTTATTTTAGTAAAGTTTTTTACTTTAATAAAGTGCCTAGATTTAATTTTAACTGTGCCACTTATGTACCGATAATTTTAGGCAAGTTGCTTACCCTTTTCAGCCCGAGTTTCCTCCTCTTTAAGATGGGCTCATTGTCAGACTTAAATGACATGTTACATGTTTAGCTTTTAAACTGGTTCTTGGCATAGAGTTAGTATCTACTGAATGTTCACTCCCATGAAAAATTTTCATGGCATGCTGGGTGGTCTTATTTATTGGGCCATTTCTGAAGCATCAATTTTGGCACTGTGAAGCTCTGTTTAATTCCTAAGAATATAAGAGCTTTGGATTTTCAGGACATCTCAGAAATAGGTAGTATTGAACAAATTCCTTCAGAATGTGGGCTACTTTCTCGTTTGTGTTAAGGATACATTGGAAATAACTGCTTCCCCCTTTAAGAGGTGAAATCAAAATTAGGAAAACAGGGATTGAAAGTTTTACTGACCTCACTTCTTTTCGTCTTAAAGATCAGAAGAAGGGGTAGACACAAATGTAGTGCAGACTGAAGGTTTCTGTACCTCATCCTGCCTGCTTTGCTGGTGCTGTGCTGTGGATAAGTCTGCTTCATGTCAAGACTGTTTTGTGGCTCGTGCTTCCACCTGAGCATCCATGGACAATCACAAGTGCTCCTGATTCTCACAGATCTCACTAAAAGCAGTAAGCAGTAACCATGCTACTGCCTGAATGTTCAGCTGCCTGAAGATATCCTCTGCCAGATTAATGAGTCTGCCATCCTTAATCTCAGTCTCCCCCAAAGTCTCAGAACATGGGCAAAATGTAGACAAAATTTTCTATTAGAGTAGAGCACTCATAACCTCTAACCTGACTGCCAAGGGAGTCTTTCTTCCAAACTGAAATCTCTAGCAGAGCCTGGTCTTTATCATTGGCCTTTTGGTCAGCACTCTAGTCTTCTGGGCTGCAACTTGAGTCTCTTATTAAACTTGGCTTATAGCATCCTAGGCCTTCTTCGGCCAGCATCTCCAGACCTTTCCAAACTCCTCCAGTGAACCATTTCCAAAGGCTTCTGTGCCATATGGTCGGTCACATAATATCAGCAACAACCCCACTTTTCACGTACCAAAATCTGCCTTTTTTGTGACTTAACTTTTCTTGTCACTGTAAATGGGATGGTCTCCTAGGTAGGAGTTAAAACTCTTGCTGTGATGAGGCATTCCATCCCAGGCCTGACATCTCTTGCTATTTTTCTCAATACAGAAATGCCAAGTTCCAAGAGAGCACAGAAAGAGTAGGCAAAAATAGTGAAATCCCTATTTTCTACATAATAGCCTAGTTTGAAATTTTTCTAGTTAATTCTCACAGTTTTTACATTTCTGTCTCTCAGGACTTTTTAATGTTTATCTCTGCCCCTTTTACCTTTTTCTGTGCTAGTATATTTCATTTTTATTGACTCCTTCCTGAAAGGAATCTCACATTTCACTATGGTCAGCTAGATGGCACAAATCTCTGGTTCAGCTTTGTTAGGTTGCAAAAATGCAGTTTAGGGAATTAAGTTTATAACTAAAAACTTGATTTGTGCCATTTTGGGGGACAGTGTTACATTTCTATCTTCACCTAAGTGAATAAGGATCCTTTAACTCATCTTTTTGGAAAATCAGTTTCTCTCTGTCTCTGTGCTCCAGTCTCTGTCTCTGATTTCTCCTGTCCCATAATGGCCGCAGATCACTATGAGTATTATGAATGACAGAAAAGGACAATATAGGGCTCAGTGGTGCCACAAATGCCTGGCAAGCACAAGGTCCTGAGTTTGATTCCAGGTACCACCCCACCCCACCCCCACACAAAGGTAAAGGACGATATAGATGATATTGGAATATGTATCTTGAAGGTTGAGCTATAAAATGAGTGAATAAAATAATCTTAATTTAAGACCTCTCTATTAACTTTTTGGTACTTCTTCATTTCCACAGGTTGGTTTCATCTCTGGTTTGCTTGACTTTTACAGGCACACACACTGTTGGGAAGTCATCTGTTTTTGTTGCTCAGGCTCACGTAGGTTCACCATCATGTATGTGTGTTTTGGAGGGCCCTGGTGGCTTGAGAATTTTAGTCTTGCCCAGTCTTCATGAAAGTAAAAGGGCATAAAGCTATCAATTAGATGAGTTATTTAGAAAAAAGCCCTTTGGAGAGCAGGAAAGCACAGTATTTTATAATGTTGACAGGTTTATTTGTAACGCAGTATAAATGTAGACATAAGGAGAGCCAGATGTTAGACATAAAAACCCAACACAGAACCCTTGAGGTTCAGTGGAAAGCTCATGGCTGGTGATGTATGTACCCCAGTAGTAGAGTGCTTGTCTAGCATGAGTGATGCCGTGGGTTCAACCCCAGGAATGCAAAAATCTCAGAAAACAAGAAAGACCCCAGATTGAACACTGTATCTGCGTTCTTACTTGCCCAGTGAAATACCAACCAAGACCGAAGCATCTTAGATGCTCAGTAGAGACCAGAAGTTAACCCCATTTGGTGTGGCTTTGGAAAGACACTCTACCTGATACATAGAAAGTTCTTTGAGACTGCAGTCATCGCTCTGGAGCTCGTTACATGACAAAATATGCCAGTGGAGTTAAAGAGCCTGTTACCCTGGAGAAATGCTGCAGGACTCATAAGGAGAAAGCCCACCACCACCTTAGACACACATGTCACTTTTGAAGCCACCTTAGAAGCATCCTAGATCCTCCCAGTCTCCTGTGGCTCTCAAACTTTATTATTTTTCCATTTCTCAAGTGTGTTAGTTACTTTTCTCTCATTGGTGAGACAAAATACCAGCACCCAAAGTTAAAGGGGAAAAGGCTTATTTGGCTTGATAAAGATTCAGTCCATAATTGGCTGGCTCCAAGGCAGGGTGGCACATGGCAGAGGGGCAGCAGTTCATGGCAAACAACAATAAGAGACCTTAATGGTGTCTCTCTCCGTCTTTTACCCCATTCAGACCACCAGGATTAGGGTGGTGCCAAACCAATCACTCTGTTGCAGTGGTTTAGTAATCACACGACCTTAATCCCAGCATCACACATTCCAGATTCAGCCACCTCTGAAAAAGGAAGCCTTACTTCATCCGAATGAGGCTTTGGGGGGACATCTAAATGTAAGCCATCAAGCTTTGATAACGAGAGCCTTTTAGGATTGTGATACTTAAATTTCGTTTGACTGAATGCTAGAAGAAGTGCATCATGGGGGAAGGGATGAGGCAGGATGGGCTGGGAGTGGGATTTCAGTTCTTCTTTGTCTTTAAATATTCAGGAGGATCAATATGTAATGTTTTCCCCTTCTTGAAGCGTTACCTGTTTTTGTTTTCTCTTGCAGCAGGGACTTTATTTGAAGATTTCTAAGAGACTGAAAACTTACAAGCTATGAAGTTGCCTAAGGAAGATTTTTATATATTTTATAGTCTGTCATGACGTCAGCAAGCATGTGGATACAGCCTGAAAGGGAATGTTGTTGCTGCGCTGGATACAGAACTCAGTTTACCTTGAGAAAAGTTTTAGTTTTAAAAAGTCTGATGAAAAGTTTATTACATTTCTAGAAAAGGAAAGAACTTCTTTTTTTATCTCATCAACCACCCCCAGCCACCACTTTTCCCAGTCACCCACCTCTGGTCTTGGTGTCCACCCTGCAGTTTTCCCCTTAGGATCACTAAGTAACGTACAGTGGAACTGTTTGTGTACAGTCTGAGCTCATGCTGTGTGTGCGTGCGTGCGTGCGTGCGTGCGTGTGTGTGTTGCTATTACCCCTTGTTGTAAGGTGATCTTCATACATAGTTTGGCTCTTACAAAAGATGAATCTTTTGTGGCAAAAGTTCCCTGAACATAATCCAATGTATCTCTGAGTAATTGACTCCCCAAAGACCATAGAGTCAGATGCGGCCAGATGCTAGACTTTGAGTCCCTACGCCAAGAATTTGACATTCACTCCTGCTACCACCATGCCACTCCTCAGGTACTTACACAATGTTGAAGGACCTTTTGGTTTTGATTTTTGTTTTCATTTGAGCTAATCATTTTTAACTTCTTGGAATAAAGGGAATGGCTTAAATTCACTAAAAAAGAAAATAGGACAAACTGAGCCCAAAACAAAACAACCCTACTTCTCATGCAACACAGGCCCATGCAACTGCTGCATGTTTTCCTTGTGCTGCTGCTTTCCATCTTCTAACTAATGCTTAGTATTTAAGATACGTAGTGGCTTCTTTCCCTGAAGGCCTTGAAATAGTCTCAGGCTCTCCACCCCCACCCCCGTCTCTCTCCAGCTTTATACTTTATAAAACACCTGAAAACACAGAGGCAAAAGATAGTATTTTTAATAGGTCTGAGTTTAGGGGTCTGGAAGTCTCCAAGACCAGCCTCCAGCCTCCACGTCAGTGTTGGTAAGGTGCCTTGGGTGCGGCTTTTATTTCAAAGAGTAAAAAAGCACCTTTCTCATTTGGCTCCTGAAAAAATGATTTCCATAAAAATATACTTCACAGTATTTTCACAATATAAATACATATTTTTGACTCTTTGGCATCAAACTAAAAATATCTAACCTTTTCAATGAATGGTAGATTCAGTTTCATGTGACTTCTTACTGACCATTAATAAACAGCATCTGTGTGTAGCTTCGTATATATGGCAAAACAGAAATCAGTATAAAGTCACTTTCATTGCAGTCCAGAAAGTACCAGTCTAGTAATCTTAGGGGTGTGCATTAGTGTAAATAATACATAGGCCATCTAGGTCAATTGTTTTTCTTTAAAAATTAAACATAGTATTTTGCCTAAGATATTCAAATATTCTGCCCTCTAAATGTTGAGGTATAAAATGTAAGATATTCTTCAGCTTTAATTATTTTTTAATTTTATTCAAGTCAGAGCACTTTTTATAGCAATATAGCTGCCAAGAGAATATTCCAAAATATTTAAAATTGTATTTATACCGAGAGTACATTTTAAATATTTTCTCATACTTGAGCAGTTTTTGTCTGGCTTTCTTCCAAATATGCCAAAAGTTAAGCATTCAATGTTTTCAACACATAAGCTTTTTACTGGTTTGTACTATCTGATGAGAATTCTCCAGAGTTCCCAAAGCAACTGATGTTTACAGCTCTTGTGTTTTTCCTCCTTCTTTGAAGGATCAGGGATCCATGATGAACTCACTGTACAGAACACTAATAACAGATACAGCTTCTTGATGTAATAAATGCGTTGGCTACCACCTTGATGTAAAAACTTCGTAAAGGAAAATTTTCAATGTTTTGAATGTCAACTGTATTTTTAACTGTCTGGTTTGTACTTTTACAACTTTTGTACTACCAAAGAAGAGTTAAGAATAAAAACCTTAAACACCATGCGTTGTTTTGTATGATTCATTTATCGGTGCCTTGTATACTGAAGATACCATTGCAACAGGATGGAGCTTAATCTTCCAGGGCCTAATTTCTTATGTCCTAACTTAGCAAGTCGTCATTTGACTGATAGCCTTCATTGGATTTTCCCTCCTGTAGTATCTCAACCCTCTCCATAATTAGAGTGGACCATTGGCTTATGAACTCTATTTGTTCTCAAGGCCTGGTTGTAACTCACCTTGGTCAGTGAAGCCTCAGGCTTCTCTATACAGCCTTCAAAGCCTCGCCTGTATACAGACAGATTTCAGTGTCCCGAGAGAGGCACTGGCCCAAGATTTCTCAATTAACGTCACAGGAAAGGATGTTGTAATGTTCCTTTCAGAGCTCTATTTAAATCTGTATCTGAGACCATCTGGAAGCACAAGTGGCCGTCATTTGGGTCATAAGACTTTGGTCATAAGTTAAATCTAAAATTCAGTCATAATCCAAGTTGTTTGTCAGGCTGGTCATAACTGGAGGGTCCACTGGTATTTTTTAAAATCTGAAATAATTTTTCTCAGAAAAGTTGTAAAAACAATAGTTCATATACCTTTTACTTTATTCCCCTTTAGGTAGTTTTACATAGCCAGAGAGCAAGTGATTAAAACTAAGAAATTAGCATTTGTTCAGTGCTTGCTTCAGCAGCATATATACTAAAATTGGAACATTGGTTCTATACTGTTAACTAAAGAACAACTTAATTTGGATGTCACCACTTGTCCTGGTAACACCTCTTTTTGATCCAGGCCCCCGTTGCGTTGGATTGTTGGTGTTCTCAGTCTCCCACGATCTGTGATTATAGCTAGGTCTACTGTTATGCTTCATGATCTTGACACTTGTGTGGTACATGGCCCAGTTCTTTTGTAGAATGCCCTGCCACTTTGGCTTCCCTGCTGTTTCTTACGATAGATTGAAGTTTTGCATTAGGGAAAAGTCTACCGTAGGGTGATGTGTTCTTCCTGTTGTATCACATCAGGGGAACATGATGGTGACATGTATCACCTAGTAATATCCAGCAGGTGTCACTTTGGTAAATTTAGTATTTTTTTCTCTTTGTAATTAATAACTCTTTGAGTGGAGATACTTTGAGATTAGACAAATATCATGTTTGCACTTAAACTTTCAGAAAGTTTACTATCTCTGATTTTGCTAGTGTTCCCATCAACAAAGTACCCCTAACTGGGTGCTAACACAAAAGAAGTTCATTCCTTCACAGTTTCAGAGGCCAGCATCTGCAATCCAGTTGTCTCCAGTGTTGGTTCCTTCTGAAGTCTCTGAGGGGAGTCTGGTCCAAGCCTCCTGACTTCCAGTGGCTGCTGGCAGTGCTTGGCATTCCTTGGTTTTCAGCTGCTTCACCTCCAGATCTCTGTGCAGGCCTTCTGCCTGTGTGTATGTCCCTGTCCTCTCCTGTCCTTATAAGGGCAGTCGTCTGGATTCAGGGCTGATTGTAATCCAGTGTGACTTCACCTTAACTCCATTACATTTTCCCCAGATTCTGTTTCCAAAAAGGGTCACAATCATAGGTCCTAAGCGTTAGGACTTCAGTATCAACATGTCTTTTGGTTACACAGTTCAGATGCCCACTACACCATCTACTGGTGGGCCTGGGCTGCAGTAGGTATTATTGTGATCCTTCTTTCAGGTTCCTTTGTCCTTTGATGTGGCTCCATTCTTTGCCTTTTCTCCGTCTTCCCTTTTCCCTTAATCTTTATTACTTTCTGTCACCTCAAGATGCTCCAGGCTTACCATTTTTATGTGTTCCTTGCCACAGCCCTGGAACCAACAACAAATTAAAGGAACCTTGAGTCCTTTTATTAGAGAATGATATTCAGAAGTAAAGGATAAGAGATGTGCTCACTGACACTGGATGTTTCAGCTTCTAGCCCTCCCTTGTACACACACACAGCCACACACACATGCGTGCACATGCACACATCTTTTGGTGTCTCTGTATCTTAGAAGCCCAAGATGTACTGATACCTCTGACTCCAGTCCTATTCCTTGGGATTCATTTTAACCTTTATCGCTTACCTTATTTATATTTTTTCCTCTTATGATAAGAAAACCTGGCTCTTATTGCCCACAATATTTGTGTGTGTGTCCAAATCTAGTGGTATGGTTCAGATCTAAAATATCCTCCCCCAAATCTTACATTTGTTGAAGGTGATTGGATCTTGGGGGAGCTATACTCACCAATTGATTCATGCGGTGATGAGTTTTAGAGTTCATTTTCTTTTAGGAGAGGAAGAAGTGGGCTACTGGGAGCATGGTGTGAAAAGCTGTATTCTGTTTGCTGACTCCTGTGCCTCTCCCTATCTCTGTCTCTCTCAGCTTCCTGGCCACCATGAGTTGAGCACCTTTTACTTCGCTTTGCCCCTCAGCCACTCCTGTCTCTGCCTTGGAGATAGCCATGCAGATTGAAAGCATGAGCCAAAAATAACTCCTCAAGTAAGTTTGTGTCTGGTATTTTGTCCCAGCAACAAGAAAGTTCTTACCTACATAGTTCTTAGCCTATACAGAGTCTGAAAATACACTATTTTGAAAAAATATATTTAGCAATCAGTGTAGTGCAGGTATATATGTCTTTGTGTTTTTAGCCTTTACATATCCAGTCAGAACTCTGCTAACATGACTAAGAACAGCTCTCTTATACTTATACCTACCTTCTTCAGGGGAGTTATGTGATCCCTTGGTAAGACAGAGTCATTTGTCACTCTGTACAATATCACCTTCATATAATGTTTTTAAATGTAGATATACCAACATCACTCTTTGTAGTGTCTCATTGAAATTTTATTTGGAAGTGTGTGTGTGTGTGTGTGTGTGTGTGTGTAACTGGAAAAACTGACATGATTTTTGCCCCATGATCCAGAACATAAGCACCATGGAGGACTTTAGAAATTCCTTACATTCCCCATGTCTTTGTTGAAAGGGGTCAGCCTTTTTGACAGATGCAGAATGGGTGGTGGTGAGTCACTGGCTGTCATCTGCTCAGCTCCTTGGGGGAGCAGGGGCCAATTGGGAATGTAGCAGATAACAGGCTCATCGGCCATGCAGGCCTGGGCTACTGGTTCTGCCACCTGCTGACGGTGGCACGCTGGTAGCTCGGGGTGACTCTGCCTGGGGTACTGTCCCTGGCCCTGCTGGGTCTGCTCCTGCCCTTCCATACTTGGTCTACATAGCCAGGCTGCTCCACTCTAAGCCCTTACAGGGCCTCCTGTCCACACAGCTGAATATCGGTGGCTTGGAGTGGAGCACACAGCTTAGCACTTGTTGCTGAGTATTTGGGTGTGATCCAAATGATGTCTTGCACATGGGGTCCCACTTGCCAGTTCTTACATCCTCTGACCTTTGTTTTTGGTGGATCACGTTGGTTTTTACCCAAGGATTCTGTCCTTTCCTCATTTCCCACCATCAATCTGAAGGTCTGTTATCAGTCTCCCTGAGGGTCTTTCACTGGGACTACAAGCACCTGAAAGGTCACCTGGGGCCTCTTTGTCCGGAAACATCCGCTGCCCAGGTGAGTCCTTGTTCACCTGGTTTAGCTGGTGTCCAGATGGGCCAGTCATCCACCTTGCACAAAGAGGCTCCGTGCCCCATCTGCTGGCCAAACTTGTGAACTACATGGATATGGCTTCTTGGCCATTTTTTGATGAAGACGTCATTTTTCAGGGTGGGGCGAGATTTTGGGGGGGGGGATAGAGAGAGAGGAGAGAGAGAGAGAGGGCGAGAGAGGAGAGGGGGAGGGAGGGAGGGAGGGAGAGAGAGGGACTGCTCCCCCTCGCCCTAGACAAGGGCTATCTGGGATCTCACCTCCCTCCACCTAGATGAGGTCCACCTGCTCAACCTTCTCTTCTCAACCCCTCTTACCCAGAGTGCTCTGTCTGACCCGGCTCAGGTGCAAAGTGTGCTCAAAACCTAGTACTGGTCACACTCTTGGGAACTGGGATCCCCTGATGGCTGCCCAATCTCGGGGATGCCTGACTTGGTTGGCCGTACACTCTCTCTGCTTCAGGAAACCGATTGAAGACCTTCTTTGCTTTGCCCAAAAGCCCTGGTTTCTGGTGTCAGACATCACTATGGGCAACCTCTCTTCCTGTATCCTTTTTCTCCCCTGGGTTATGTTCTTACAAACCTCAAACTTCTCCATCTCACCCTGACCTGAAGCCAGATCATCTCATTGTCCGTTATAGTTCGTCCTGGTCACAATACAAATTAGACAGTGAATCACATTGGCCCCCAAAATGGTACTTTCAACTTTTCAATTCTCTGAGAACTAGACACCTATTGCCGGCAGTTGGAAAAATGGTCAGAGGTCCCATATGCCCAGGCATCCCTCGCTGGTCGCAGACTTCCCTCTCTGTGCCTCTTGTGACCCCACTGAACTTCTCATCTCAACTCCTCTGTCAGCTCCCTCTTCTGCGCCTGCCCACTACCTCTCCTCTCTGACCACCAAGCCTTCCTCCCGGGCCTGCCTCCCCAGGCCCCCACATCCTCTGCCCATTCCTAACCCACCCCGACCTCAACAGCCTCCCTCTGCCCCTGCAGCCCTTCCTGCTCTCCCCACCCTCTCCCATACCCCATCTGGTCTCCTTTTAGCCTCCATTCCAGCCCCAGCCCCCCTCCCCCTCCAGCTGCAACGCTGAAGCTGCTTAGCTTCCGTCAGGACCTCCTACTGTCACTTCCTCTCCTCCGGCCCTACTCTGTCCACTTATCTGACACTTCCAACCCTCTTCCTTATCTCATCAAGACCATTCCAGCCCCCTCTCACACTAGGTCTGAACTGCAGTTGGTTTTTCTTCCCTACCCCCTGCTCCTCAGTTTCTGCTTTGGGAGGTAGAGGGGTGGAAAAAATAGTCCAAGTTCATTCCCCTTTTTTTCTGTCTGATCTTTCTCAGATTATTCCGTGCGTGGGTTCCTTCTTCACAGACCCCACTAAATATGTTCAAGAATTTCAATATCTC